TGAAGTGTACAAGCTCAGTTTACACCGAAGTTATGAAATTATCGATATTATAAAACTCTCTATTATAAATCTATCAATAATAGTTAATCCATTCTTCCAGGAATAGTTATGATTGGCCAGTTTCATAATATTGGTGTGAATTTTTGGCAAATTAAGCCGTGCAAACATCATTACGATGCATACAGCGTGATACGCGGTATCCGGTAATTTTACGATCCGATGCATCCTTACACTGAAAGAAAAGATTGGTTGCTGCAGCAAATTAGATGATAAAATATGGCACAGCACTTTTAATTGACTGCAGCAGCCAATTTTTGATTGATTCATGTCTTTACGTCCTTGCTGGATTTAAGGTAGTGCCATCGAATTGAATATATATATATATAGCGGATTCCGTGAGTGACAAGGAGTTTCTCGAGTTGCACAAAGATGTTTTAATTACGTCCCGTTATCGGATATTATAATTTCGGGACATCCATGGCGTAAAATAATGCATTCAGCGATAACTTGCATCACCGCCGGTGCAAAGATCGTAGTTCCATCCACTTGGAAAAGCAGTTCTGAATATTAAAGAGCCAAACCCTTGCCCTTTTTCGATTTCGACTTTCAGTGGAGCCATGTTACCACAAAGAATTAAAGAAGTAACAGTATAAAATAAAAAAATTTAATTTATCGAGGGGGGTATATCATATTCATTTAATTATAATTATTCTTTGTACAGTTGATGAAACAATTTTCTGAATTGAATGTCTAATAATTTTTATTGTATTTAAATTGTAGACTTTAAATTGCTGCCAATACATTTTTCTTTAGTTGTAAAGATTATATCTATTTATTCTAAACGAGAAAATGTAACGTATACGTGCTTCTTATAGGCGTGAGTTACGAAGATGCTTTGAGGGATGGTGTTCTGCTCTGCATGCTCATGAATAAATTGCAGCCCGGCCTGATCTCAAAGGTCAATACTTCCGGTGGAGATTACAAGATGATGGATAATCTTAATCAGTGAGTATTACATTATAAATTTGAAGAACAATAAACACGATCAAGAAAATATCAGAAATCATTTACAGAGTATAGGTGAACAATACTGTAATGTGATAACAACGAAATAAAACTGTATATCCATTAAATATTTTCTGAATAATTAACATTAATTTAAGTTTAAAATTAACTAAAGTAATACCGCTGTAAATGTCTTGTCAATAATGAGCTGCTTTTAACAAAGAGAAATGCTGTATCTCATAATTATCAAATTAATTTACTCGTATTTCTAATTAGTAACTTCTTTATTGATATTTATTAGGCTTTATAATACTTCGTAAGAGATTCAATATTCGCGTTTTTACTGTAAAGAAAAAAATAAATTTTAATAATTTTTGTTTGAATAAAGCTCGAAGTAAATATTTACTAAATGCAAGCACATATTTATTTGATATAAAAACTATTGATTTGATTTAACTATCATTTTTTTCTTAAATAAATATTTATTTATTCTAATTAAAGGTACTATTTTTTTGTACTATTCAAAGAAATGTGTATTAAGATTTAATGATTTTTTTTTTTCAATGTAACAAAAGATATTCCGTTCAGCGAGTCTCGACGCAGAAAATTTTCTCATGGATGGCGCGGCGGTGTGTCTCGCTTCGGCGAGACGCGCCTTCTGCTTGTTTATGATCCCCTAATCCGCCGTCGACTTTACGCAATCGACAGTGTTTTGCGTCAGTTTCTCGACTGCGGAATATCGACAACGCCGATCAACGACCGTTCGGACCGTCGTCGCGAGTCGAGAGATTGTTGACCCTCTCGCGAGACTCTCTCGTTTCGAGAGTCGCGCAATATCACCAGCCGGAGCGAGCGATTAGGCGCGAAACGCCCCGTCGATGATGGATCCCCCGGCTCCTAGTGCATCCTGCTCGCCTGGCAGCCGAGAACCGACAAAGTCTGAGGTCGGGACCATCGACTATACATTGGAGCGCGATGAAAGTGAAAACACCGATAGATATATGTAGACGCGCAGCGTAGCCGTTACCGAACGCGCGGAAAACAGAAAGCCATGAATTTTTACGTCGCATTCCTCATGTTCTTTTTTTATACATATTAATCATTCTTTGGATTATATTTGCATATAAAATCAGCGCAGTGCAAAATTATCAAGTGATGATTAGAAGGTTCAGAAGACCTAATGTTCATTAAAAATTGATCAAAGGAATTTTTAATGATTACCGCAATCGCAGTTTCCCATGTCTTGTAAATTCTATCATGTGTGTACATTTTCCTTTCCTTTGGGATTTAAATGTTCTTTTGTCTTTAAGCCTTTTTGCGTCGCTAGTTTTTATATAATTAACAGCTTGGAACTATATATA